TGCAACTTGTGTAGGTGTCATATCAAGTCTATTCAAAAGGACCTCTTTCCATGTTTCATCCTCCCAGTCTTTAAAAGCTATGTGAATAGCAACGGTGCGGTTCTTGTAGTCTGCCAGCAATGGACGCCAACGAGTCTCTATTGTTTTGACTTTATTCAAAACCAACCCAGCATAGGGTTGCCGGAAAGAAAGACAGCCAAATCTCATCTTTCTTCAGTGCTGCACCTTTCACCTTGCATAGCTGTCACAACCTGATTAGTTAGGAAAAGAAAAATAATTAACACAACATCCTGATGTTGGGGCTTGCCAAATCTACTTGTCAGTGGACACAGCAAACTGCCTGCACAAGTGCCTTGAAAATGTTACAAAACGGTCCAATTATTCAAACACCTGTATCTCTGAAATTCCTGATTTTCTGGATGGAAGCAGTAAATTTTTAAGCAATACTCAATTTGGCTTGAAACCCTGTGACCCAGGTTATGACCCAGAAGCTCTAAAGAAAATCAGGGCCTTGTTGTAAAAGCTCCTATATTGAATGAGGGGACATCCTTAACCCAAGAGATGGACAATCTCAAAATTTACTGTGGAACTGATGAATGTGAGAAGCTAGATCTCTGGGGGGTGATTTTTTTTTGGACCAACTGTATAGCTGGGATAAAGCCAGAGAAACTTTTGAAGACAAAGCTTTCTTCTTCAGGTCATTCTGAGTGCAAAGCAATCTTCTTCAGGAAGAGAGGAATTACACAAATGAAAGTCTGCAGCTGAGCTAAGCACTGAACCCTAAACGCCTAAAACCTAGGTGAATGTTTTAAGCCTAAATTCATCTCTAAATCTGATGTTACGCTAAGGCAAGTCTAGTCAACAACCTTTGGCTGGCACAGATGCTTCAGTGTCTGATGAAGTTGAGTCGAGCTCATGAAAGCTTGTAATACATATATACGTACATATGCAGAGAGACAGAGCGAGCATGCGTGCAAGAGTATAAGCAAGGCTCCCACTGCGTGTGTATACATACTATATACACTATAGACTATACAGACTAGATATGATTTAGCCAGACAGAAGCAGCCCTGGGCTAGCAAATGGACCCCTGGGCCTCCCCGCCAGCTGGGGCTGCCCCACCCTGCCTCAACATACTGTGGTCCAGAGCGCACGTTCAAATGACATGCCAATAAACTCTGCATCCAGCATTTTCCACAGGAGTTTCCGTGGCACAGTGATGTTGATCAGAGGTTAATCACACCCCTGATCGACAGCTGTAAGGCAGGGTTACACATGCACATCTTTACAGATTAATTAAATAAGATATATCTATGTATCTGTCTAGATCTAGACAGATAGATCTAGATACATCTTTCTATCTAGACACATAGATAGATCTAGGTGCATAGATAATCTAGATAGACAGACCTAGATATCTACACACAGACACGTACATACACACACACAGGCCCCTGCGCACGCGTGCGTGTGTGTATAACACCCATGGCTACACGATGCACTAGTAGCCACCTTAGTTGGCTACTACACGGTCTGACCTACCCGTATATAAAGCGCACATCCGTGCACGTGTCTTCGATCTACCTCCAGCCCAGCCCACCTCAGCTCACTGCCGTGTCGCCTGCGCAGCCGCACACGGTGACCCCGCCCCCCCGGTCGGGCCCCGCCCCCCGCGCACTCGGGTTTAGTCCCGCCGCCCCCGCCCGCCCTTCG